AGCCTCATCGAGTTTGCAATGAAGGCTCTCAGAGTCCTGTTGATGTTATACATCGCATTCAATGATCCCAGTATGTGGCATTGAGTCATAGGGTTTCTTGTAATCAACCTTAGCCATGCACAGGTTGGTGTGTCAGGTTGTGATATATATAAAAAAAAAAAAAAAATTCCCTTCTCACCCACCGCGGGTGGTTCTTATCCTCTGAGCTCGGGTCCTCTACCAGAGGCCTGGGAGCTTGAGGGTTCTGCGCAGTATCTTGGCTGTGCCAAGGACTGCACACTTCTGGACTGAGATGTCTGATGTTGTTCCTGGGATCTGTTGTAGCCACTGCTCCAGTTTGGGGGTTACTGCCCCGAGGGCCCCGATGACCACAGGCACCACTGTGGTCTTCACCTTCCAGGCCCTCTCCAGTTCTTCCCTGAGGCCCTGGTATTTCTCCAGTTTCTCGTGCTCCTTTTTCCTGATGTTGCAATCACTTAGTATTGCTACATCTACCACAACGGCTTTCCTCTGATGTTTATCCACTACGACAATGTCTGGTTGGTTCGCCATTACCATTTTGTCTGTCTGGATCTGGAAGTCCCACAGGATCTTAGCTCTGGCGTTCTCCACCACCTTTGGGGGTGTTTCCCACTTTGATCTCGGGGTTTCCAGTCCATATTCTGCACAGATGTTTCTGTACACTATGCCTGCCACTTGGTTATGTCGCTCCATGTACGCTTTCCCTGCCAGTATCTTGCACCCTGCTGTGATGTGCTGGACTGTCTCAGGGGCCTCCTTGCACAACCTACACCTTGGGTCTTGTCTGGTGTGGTAGATCTGGGCCTCTATTGCTCTGGTGTTTAGGGCCTGTTCCTGGGCGGCCAGGATGAGGGCCTCTGTGCTGTCCTTGAGTCCAGCTTTTTCCAGCCATTGGTAGGATTTACTTATATCAGCCACTTGGGTTATTTTCTGGTGGTACATCCCATGTAGGGGTTTGTCCTCCCATGATGGTATCTCTGGCACCTCAACCTCCGTTCCCTGTTGTCTGAGACACTCACTGAGCACATTGTCTGTTGAGGCTTTGTCCCTGATGTATTTATGGATCTTAGTTGTTTCGTCCTGGACAGTGGTTCTCACACTCACTAGTCCTCTGCCTCCGTCCTTGCGGCTCGTGTACAGTCTCAGGGTGCTGGATTTGGGGTGGAACCCTCCATGCATTGTTAGTAGCTTTCTGGTCTTAATATCTGTGGCTTTTATCGCCTCGTTTGGCCAGCTAATTATTCCAGCAGGGTATCTGTTTACTGGCAAGGCATAGCTGTTTATCGCACGGATTTTGTTCTTGCCATTGAGCTGGCTTCTCAGGACTTGCCTTATTCGTTGGAGGTATTTAGCTGTGGCTCCTTTCCTTGTGACCTCATCGAGGTTGCCATTTGCTTGTGGTATACCTAGGTACTTGTAACTGTCCTCTATGTCTGCTATTGTTCCTTCTGGGAGTGAGACCCCTTCTGTGTGGATGACCTTCCCCCTCTTTGTGACCAGCCGACCACATTTCTCTAGTCCGAATGACATCCCAATGTCAGTGCTGTAGATCCTGGTGGTGTGGATCAGTGAGTCGATGTCTCGCTCACACTTGGCGTACAGCTTGATGTCATCCATGTAGAGTAGGTGACTGATATTGGCCCCATTTTTGAGTCTGTATCCGTAGCCAGTCTTGTTGATAACTTGGCTGAGGGGGTTCAGGCCTATGCAGAACAGTAGCGGACACTTGTGCAAGTGGTTTGCAGTTGGCTTCAAGGGTGGTTTTCCACAGCCTCATCGAGTTTGCAATGAAGGCTCTCAGAGTCCTGTTGATGTTATACATCTCTAAGCATTCAATGATCCAAGTATGCGGCATTGAGTCATAGGCTTTCTTGTAATCAATCCAAGCCATGCACAGGTTGGTGTGTCGGGTTTTGCAGTCTCGGGCAACTGTGCGGTCTACGAGAAGTTGGTGTTTGGCTCCTCTGCTATTTACACCGATACCCTTCTGTGCCGTGCTCATGTGTTTATCCATGTGTTTGCTTATCTTGGCCGCTATGATGCCTGACATGAGCTTCCAGGTTGTGGAGAGGCAGGTTATTGGTCAGTAGTTGGGTGGGACTGGACCCTTTGATGGATCCTTCTGGATTAGGATTGTCCGCCCTTCAGTTAACCATTCAGGGTGAGTCCCACTTTGTAGCAGCTGGTTCATTTGGGCTGCCATTCGCTCATGGAGAGCAGTGAGTTTCTTTAGCCAGTAGGCATGGATCATGTCAGGCCCTGGTGCTGTCCAGTTTTTCATACCTGAGACTCTTCTTGGACATCTGTCACAGTGATGGTTACCGGGGCTTGCTCAGGGAGGTTGCTGTGGTCCTCTCGTAGAGAGATCAGCCACTGTGCATTGCTGTTGTGGGACGCCTCCCTTTCCCATATGCCTTTCCAGTATTGTTCCGTCTCCAGCCTTGGTGGGTCTGCTCTGTTGTTATTGTTACCCTGCCATTGAGAGTACACCTTAGCTGGTTGAGTGGAGAAGAGCCGGTAATCCTTCTGGATTCATTCTCCCTTGTGTATCTCTTTAGGCGGCTGGACAAGGCTTGGAGCTCTGTTTGGCAGTCTCGAGTGCTTCAGGTATGGGCATCTGCCTGTACTTTCTGGGTACTGGTCTTTTCATTGCACCCTTGTGGAGCTCTGACAGTTGGCTCACTTCCCTCCTTGTTACCTTGATTTTAGCCTCTAACCGTCTTTTCCATGGTGGGTATTGGGTCTCATGGTTGCTCTTATAGCCAAGTATCTCAAGGATCACTGATGCTGAGTTGTAGATCAGCTCATTGGTTTCTGTTATGGTGTTGGTAGGGATCGTTCTCAATGCTGCATTCACATTCTCAATGAGACTTTCAGATGGTACTTCACTCAGCCGTTGTAATTGGCGCCGGGGAGGCCTGGTTGTCATTCTCTCTCTCAGGTCAGCAGCTGTCTCGTTCAGCTCTGTTTCGCTCATTGGGGCCGTGTATCCCCTCACTGGGTGGGGACTTGTAGTTAAGTCCCCACAGTCCTGACATCCGGGTTCCTCCCTTTTGCCGTAGCATTTGTGTTGTATCTCGTCAATCTCAAGTTGTGATAGCAGTTGCCGTTTGCGGATGTTGGAACACTGAGCTACTAGTTGTTTAGCTTAGTGTTGACTGGGGATGTCGAAGTAACCATTCCTTCCCCAGTCTTTGCATGTAACCCCTCTGACTAGGGTTACTTGAGTAGTAGCATTCCAACAGATCCACATTTTCATCTCTCGCCCATTTCCGTCTTGTTCCAGTAGCCCATTTGTCATCAAGGTGCTCTGGTTCCCCAACACCTGACGCAGACCTTGTTTGGCCGGGCGACGTCTGAGCCGGCATGTTATGCAACTTAGTATCTCTCATGGTATGAGGTAGGCAGTAGCTTGAAGGGTCTTGCCTAAGGACCCAGACTGGATTCGAACCCTGCCCTCTCGGGTGATATACTGATGCCTTATGTATTGAGCTATCCAGTCAGCTATGGATAGCTCAATACATAATACATATATTATATATTATATATATTATACAATACATAATACATATATATATATATATATATATATATATATATATATAATATATATATATATATATATATATATATATATGCTTTCAAAAAGTAAAAGCAAATACTAAAAGCTTTGGGAGGAAAAAACAAAGTTCTGCTTTCAGACTGATAATGTGTGCTTTTAGATTGTGACAGAAGAATTCTTCCATATACCTGTAGCTGGAACTTCAACGGTTCTTTTTTAAATTATTATTTTTTTCTTTATTTTTTCCCCTAATGAAATCAAATTAGGATTTTGGTTATAATGTCACAACTTGTGTAAAAGTTTAGGGCAGAGGTCGGCAACCCAACATGTTGAAAGAGACATATTGGACCCAAAAAACTTTTATATAAGGCAAAACAGGCTCTCGATGATTATATTAGCGTATTATCAAAATGACTAAGTGTATACATAATTAGTATTCATGATTAAATGTTTATTTTCCCTGCAGTGAGTCCTGGAAGGAATGACGCTGTTGTACGATAGTGCTTTAAGTTAACCTTCTGTTACAATATGAATGCATTTACAAAATTAAAGAAACGCAATAAAAAATCCGATTCTTGATATCATTTGTATTATGAAGAGCGACAGCGAAAGTGTCATTTTTTTCTCTTTTTGGAACACAGAAAATCTGCCCCCAAATGCAGTTTGCATAACGATGATCGCTCTTTGTGAATAATTACCGTTAAGCTTGTGATCAAAAAAACAACAAACGGAGTGTAATAAAACAGCAGCCTTTTGAAAACGTAAAGTATATAAAATTAAGAGTTTAAGTTAAATTTCTGTGCAAATGCCAAGCAAATCAGTGCAATAGCAACACAAAGCAGCTATGAGCAACCCAACCTGAGCAACAACACAAAATAATATCGCTGAGTGTCATTCTAAATGTATACTGATGAAAATTACTATATCGCTTATTTATGTATGTTTTCAGTTTTTTATTTTTTTCCAAGTTTTGGCTTTCATTGAGGTGCGTTCCAGAAAGTATGGTACTCTTTTAGTTATTTGACAACTTGTCGCTGCAGAGCGAACATTCAGGCAATCCTTCCACACTGACAACTAATGCAGATGATTCGGTCCAAGAATTGTAGACTTGAATGTTTCTTCTACACATTTTTATAGCACTGGAAAACGTTAAGTGTTGTGTTTGCCCTCCTACAGAAACCATATTAAAACAAAAAAAATATATTTCCCAGCCCCTACACACAGCCAAGATACTGCCTTTTCCCATTTTCAAACATTTTTGATGAAGCTCCAAAGAGTCACTAGGGCGGCGCTAAAGAGCCGCGGGTTGCTGACCCCTGGTTTAGGGTTTATCACCCTAACCCATCTCAGTAAATGTTGTCTGACAATTAATCCCTGGAATAATATTTTAGTGTGGATCCTCCCATGTCTGTTTCAGGTTGTCATTGTTGAAGTCCAGGGGCTGAAGTCAGTTGCTCCAAACCGAATTGTTTACTGCACCATGGAGGTGGAGGGTGGAGAAAAACTTCAGACTGACCAAGCAGAAGCTTCAAGACCCCAGTAAGTTCACCTCAAATGTTAATACTCAATAGCTGTAACGGATAGCAACAGCCTTTCTGCAAGCAGTCAAGGACAGAATTCTCCTGACTGCCTTGTGTGTAAATATTCCCTCCGCCCTCGCATCATGTCTGCATGTGTGTGGTCAACAACAGTCGCCCTTCTGTTGTAAACTTTGAAAGTTTTTTATGATAATTTGTGTCTTCCAAAATTCAAATAAGCAAGCCAAGCTTTTTATATGGTAAATGACTCTATCAAGTGCAAGGCACTTCATACTACCTTCAGTCAGTTATGGAGTCACACACACTCACACAATGACAGAGCCTCACCTGTCATCATGGAAAAATAATATAATGAAAAGATAATTTATATTGCTATTCTCATCTTGTGTTTTGTACTATAAATTTTATTTTTCATTTAGCCTTACCACTTATTATCATTTTTCTTCAAATTGCTGAATTTTTGTAATTTCCCATTCAAATGCTCAGAAGCGAACCTGGTGAGGCACCAGTGAACTTAGCCTCACCTTGGATTGCGCAACCTCGCGCCAGTTCTGGCTGCCACTTGTTGAGAGCATGTTTCTCCTGTCAGTATGTTGCCAATACAATAATTAAAAACCTTTTAATATACAAACTGATTTTCCATCGCTTAGCTTATCTATATAATATACCGTGTTGTTACCAACTGTGTGTATAATATGATTTGTGTGCTGAGGAGTGATCAGAAATGGCAACCAAGAGACTCGAGGTGAGGCAGGCAGTTTTCTTGCCCTCATGCCAGGGCACTCATGATCTCAGTCATTGGTCTTTTGATTCAGCGTCTGCAGAGTAAAAGACAGCGAGCAACCAATACCGTCCTTGGTGAAAAATAAATATACCAAGTATGTTACATTTTAGCATACCTTAGCATACTTTAAGTCAGACTAATTATGAGTATACTTCAAGTTCACTGAGGATTAGTTAACTTAAAGTGTGACATTATATACATATTATATATATATATATATATATATATATATATATATATATATATATATATATAATATGTATATATATAATATATATATATATATATATATATATATATATATATATATATATATATATATATATATATACCTCCAATGAATAAGGCAAGTCCTGAGAAGCCAGAGAAGCCCTAAACACCAGAGCAATAAAGGCCCAGATCTACCACACCAGACAAGACCCAAGGTCTTGTCTGAGACAGTCCAGCACATAACAGCAGGGTGCAAGATACTGGCAGGGAAAGCGTACATCGAATGACATAACCAAGTGGCAGGCATAGAAACATCTGTGCAGAATATGGACTGGAAACCCCGAGATCAAACCCCAAAGGTGGTGGAGAATGCCAGAGCTAAGATCGTGTGGGACTTCCAGATCCAGACAGACAAAATGGTAAGGGCTAACTAACCAGATATTGTCGTAGTGGATAAACAACATAGGAAAGCCGTTGTGGTAGATGTAGCCAAGCGACTGCAACATCAGGAAAAAGGAGCACGAGAAACTGGAGAAATACCATGGCCTCAGGGAGGAACTGGAGAGGGCCTGGAAGGTGAAGACCACAGTGGTGCCTGTGGTCATCGGGGCTCTCGGGGCAGTCACCCCCAAACTGGAGCAGTGGCTACAACAGATCCCAGGAACAACATCAGACACCTCAGTCCAGAAATGTGCAGTCCTTGGCAAAGCAAAGATACTGCACAGGACCCTCAAGCTCCCAGGCCTCTGGTAGAGGACCCGAGCTTATATATATGATTGTTTGGCTTATATGGTTAAGCCAAACATTTAGATGTCAGGAGACGTTGAAACACACACCATCTTCTTATGTTACTAACTCAATACTGTTTGCAGTGCAGAGAAAGAGGTAAACAATTTAAATTAGGGGATTAATGGATGATCATGCATGAACAAACATAACGTATATAATGATGAAAGTGGTTACCGTTGTGTAGTAAAAGAGCAACTTTTTAACTGAATTATATTCCATAATGTTTTCATCGTCCTCTGCAAGTTCTTTTCAAATCATCAGCTTATTCCATCCAACAACATATTCTCCTCCATGACACTATCAATCAGTTCTACTCTGTCTGGTTGTGATTGCCATTTAGGCTTTAGCGTTCTTGGTGGCATTGGTGGTTGTCAGATGTCTGTTCAGACAGCAGGGGACTATGCAAGGATGAGGAAGCCCTTTCACATGCTTAATCTGCTAATGGATTTTTTTGCTCTGTTTTTCATCTGAAAGAATCACCAGAGTCAATTAGACAAGCTAAATGTAACTCTGAAACCCTGCTGACCAAAAGGTGGTAACTTGGCTTTTCTGTAGATCCTCTAACCGCCTGTGTAACTGATATGCAGTGAACTCTTTTTAGTTTCTGACTGTTCTCACTGTAACAAGACTGAAATCGCTTTGGGAGGTGAAATTCCTTGAAAAAGCAAATGTACAATATTTGGCAAAGTTTAGACAAGTTATGTGGATCAAAGTGTAGATGTTCTTGAGGAAGTTCAGTAAGGTCACAGCTTTCTGAGTTTTATTATCAGGACATCCTAAAGCCCTTTTGCATTGCAGGCCTGACCTGGCCAGCCAGGCCTGGGTTCAGACCAGGTGTGGCGTTTTACAATAGCCCACTGAGCCTAGTCCTGATGGAGACTAGGCTCAGTAAAACTACTTATTTGGAGAAGTACGTATACTCCTCCATATAAATCTCCTCTGTGTACAATTCAGTTTCCACATCACTATTTTATAATACCCAAATGAAAGTGAGTGGTGGGAGCTTGATCCCATTCTCCTTACATGAGGAGAAAACACAATCAGGAGTGTAAGTTCGCAAGAATCACACCGGGATATATACCTGATAAAACTTGACATAATTTTCATGTGACAGACATATTTTATAAGTTTTTCACAGTTTGTTCATTTTGACCAGATTCTGAAAAAATGATTGCCTTTGAACTTTAACAGAGAATAATAACTTCTCTAGAATGTAAATGTCTAGTACAATTTTGAACCATTCATCAATAGTAGGTACTTCAGATTTTAGACATTTTCTATTGATTGTTTTTTTCCTTGCTGCCAGAAGCTTTAACAGCAGTGTTTTATCTTTCAGAGTCCAGTCTTCAAATGAAATGTCTCCACTTCAAATCATCCCACAGATGTTCAATGTTTTTCAGGTCTGCAGACTCGAGAGGGCCATTGCAAAACAGAATATTTGTTTCTCTGCTTTAAAAAAGTTGATTTGGTACTGTCTTTTGGATCATTGTCCGGTTAAAATATCCATCCCCATCAGAACTTCACAACTAATTCTTGAACATTATTCTAAAGAATCCCTGGTATTCAGTGGAATCTACGCAACCCTCAACTTTAACAAGATTTCCAGTGCCGACATTGGCACTTAATATTCATTAATGTGAATATCAATTCATATTAACGAATTAATATCCATTAATGTGAATATCAATTCATATTAATGAATTGATATTTTAGACACTTTCTAGTGATTGTCTTTTTGCTTGCTGCTTCCGGTGTGACTATCCAAGTCTGCAACATATTATGTCTCTGTGCCGTTTAGTGTCAGTACAACAGTGAGAGCAGAACCCAACCTATTACACCGCTAGCCCGATAACTTTAAATAACTTTTTGGTTTATTTGTTTTCTGAATGTCATGCTCATCCGGGTGAGTGTTGGTAGTTTGTGCACTGCTTTTCTTGCTGTCTGGCCGGATGTCATTTTTTTCTGCAATCAGCTTCTATAACTCACTATACTCCATCAAGAGCTTGTTTTTTAAATGTCATTAAATTTGTTGTGTTGATGTATTTTGGTTCTTCACCCCTAATGTATTTTTCCGTTGCAAGACCCAAACTTTCCCATTCACTCTCAGAGCGTTAAAGTTTCACATGACAGGGCTTAGACTTTGCTGCGCAGTGAGAAGGAAAGGAGGAGATAAGCTGCACACTGACTTCTGAAGTCTGAAAAGAATGTGATATAGGTGAAAGAATGAGATATTTTGTTGCCGTCTTTGTGATCGGCAACAAAAGACAGTGAAATGGGATTATGATCATATACTGTTTTACGAAAATTGGCCAATTATTATTAGTTGCCAGCACACCACTACTAACAATAAATTATCTACACACAGCGACAGCTTTGGTTCCCCAGATGCCAACTGAACTCGTGTGATGTCTGTCCTCTGCCTGATCTACTGACTTAATGGCTCTAAAGAACAGGGATAGATCTCTGTTAAGTTTTGTCTTAGCTGATGGTTTGTTGCACATTAATTAGGGTTTGGCGGAACACAAACTTGGACATCATGTTTTTTTTTTTGTTGGCTCTAGTGGCCTTTATTTGAAAGTAGTTAGAGGAAAGAGAGTAATGAGGGTGGAGGAATACATGTGGCAAATGTTGCCAGGCTGGGAATCGAACCTGCAACCACCGCCACGAAGATTGCAGCCTCAATATGTGGGTTGTGCTTTACCTCTGCTCCACTGCAGTGTTTTAAAGAAGGAACCATCTGACTGAGTCAAAAGCCTTCAATGCGTCTAAGGGGTCTCTATTTTTTGTTATACTACGTCAGGGGTGTCAAACTCCCCCGATGTAGTCCTCAAGGGCTGGTGTCCTGCAACTTTTAGATGTGCCTCTGCTGCACCAGACGTGAATAGAATAATTAGGTCATTAGCAAGGCTCTGGAGAACTGATTTACACAAGGAGGAGGTAATTAAGCCACATCATTCCAGCATTATGTACCTGTGGCACATCTAAAAACTGTAGGACACCGGCCCTCGAGGACTGGACTTTGACACCTGTGTACTACATGATGCAAGATTGTCTGTTAAGGTAGGATGCCGAGTGTACATTAATGAGAAATAATATAAACTTTTTTGATTTTAGCAAGTGACTGCAATAAAACTGAGTGAAAAATTTAAATGGGTCTGAATACAAGTTTTTGATGTTGGTTTGATCACCATTTTTCATCATATTTATTGTTTCATAGTTTCTAATTTGGTGTTTTGTAGATGGGGTACTCAGGGAGACTTCTCTACAACTCATCCCTTGCCTTTGGTTAAAGTAAAGCTCTTTATAGAAAGTACTGGTGTCTTGGCTCTGGAAGACAAGGAACTGGGCAGGGTAAGTTCAAAATCTAAATGTAAATAAATACTTGTGAATTTACCACTGATGGCTGAGTTGGATTAGTTGCTTTTTCTAAGGATTGGAATTATTATTGGATTTTTTTCTCTCCATGAAAAAAGGCAGCACAGGAAAATGTGCACTTGCAATATTACTGTATTGCAATTTAAGAGATGAGATTAATCTACATTTAGTCACTGGCCTGCAGTGTCTCCTCTTTCCCCTCCCAAGTTTTGTATCCAAAATATCTGTAACAGATTTCTTCGATATTGTGTGCAACTCTGCTCTGTTAGTTAAAACTTTAAAGTAAACTTGCTAAACCAACAGCAAAACCAAACTACTGTGGTGAAAAATTATTATACTAAGTATGTTAAATTTTAACATGAGCATATTTTCAGCCAGACTAATCATGAAGTATACTTCGAGTTCACTTAGGATTAGTTAACTTAAAGAATGACATTTTGGAACAACTCATTTTATGTTCAGTTTTCTTTAGTAGTATTTAAATTGTATTAAAGCACAATTTAAAGTGTAGTAAGTATATTTCAGCATACTTTTTTTGGACAACTTAAGTGACAGTATACTTTAAGTATGTTGCTTTTTATGTAATACATTTAAAATACATTTAGAATGTATTTTAAGTATATTGGCATTACATATTTTATATATTGGTAGTGTTATTACAGTATGCTACAATTACACTTTTGGTTTACTATAATTGCTAATGACATACACTTTACTTCAGTTACTTCAAATTTTTTATTTCTCCGCTTTGCCACTTTGTACATTACATGCTTCATATACACTACAGTACTGCAAACACATCAGGTTACCGGAACACAGAAGGATCAATTACAACACACTTTCCAGGTGAAACTAATTACATTGTGCTTTCAATAAATTACCATTTTGGTAACACTTTATTTGATAGGGTGTGCATAAGACTGACATAATGCCAACATAAACATGACATAACACCTGTCATCCAACTTTCAAAGCAACTTCTCATTACAAATGGCATTATCTATCCAATGACACTTCATGACACCTGTTGGTATGTTCCCAACAGGTGTCATGTTTATGAGTGTCATGTCAGTGTTATGCACACCCCATCAAATAAAGTCTCACCCACATTTTTCAAGAATACATTGCCAATATACTATTACAGAATGGTACAAATTGTCAATACATCCAAAGTTTACAGATAACATGCTTTCAAAAATTAGCGTAATGAAACAACAGGTACACTTTAGAGGAAATGTAAAAAATATTTCACCAAGAACAGAGCAGAGTATTGTTTTAATTCAGTATTACAGTAGCCTATTCCAGTTTTACTCCAGACAAACTGGCATTTCTCCATCCTAAAAACAGTGAAGATCAGCAGAACAATTCGATTCACCATACTCAATGTACAGAAACGTACAAAAAGAACAATAGAGCAATTAACCAGAGAAAACACTTGTATTTTAAAGAGTATAGCTTTTCATCTATGATCTGAACATGTTGATCCTTGCAAATTCTAATGACACAGTATTTACTTGTTAAAATACAATAAAGTCTTTCCAGCATAAGGCTTGTATTTCTTCACCCTTTTTCAGGTGGTCCTGATCCCCACCACCAGTGGTCCAAAGCAGGCAGAGTTCCACCGGATGGCGGTCCCTAAGAACAGCCAGGACACAGATCTGATGATCAAACTGGCTGTCCGCATGGACAAGCCTCCCAACATGAAACATAGTGGGTGAGTGTGTTTCATTGTCTGGCTGCATTGGTAATGGAAAGTTATCTACTGCATAGGTTTCTCATGTTCAAGCTGGAAATAGACTGTTCACACATCAGATTTTGTGAAAACACAAAGCCATTGAATATCGACATCGACATTAACTAATATTGTCCAACAAAAATCTTTCAATCGTCTGACATGTTGACAGATACACTTCTCCTCTATCCTTACAAGAAGATTGGCATTTACAAATTCTTAGAAACCACTGTTAAAAGGATAAGTCTCATGCAGGACCTGAGCATGGCAAGATGAAACCTGTGTAACATTCAACTTGACTTCAAGCATAACTGATATTGCAAGGGGCTTCTGTCCCAGGTATCAGGCAAAATTTGAAAACAACTCTTAAAATCATTAAATAAATATTAAAATACTTTATATGGAAAATTGTTGAAGGTATGTTAAAAATACTGATTAAAAGATCAAATGGCAACAATAATTGATTATTGATGAGAATAAAGAGTAGTGATGGGCAGATGAGGCCTCACTGGGTGTGTGGCACATTTCCCAAACTGTGTCAACACTGTTGAAACTGTGTTGCCCTGTCACTTACAGTGACATCTGCTGGATTTAGAAAATTATTGCAGGCAAATTTGATAAAGACGGGAGTGTTAATCGGTTAATCCCCCTCATGTCAGGCACCTTGATACCTCAGGATTGTGGAAGTGCTCCGGTTACAGTAAGACAAAACTTGGGAGCAAATCCTACATTTTTCACCTACAATATGAATAAAAGTTAATCCATCCAAAATAACTCAAATATCACATTGAAAAGAATTTAAATAATCCAAAAGAAAACTTATCAAAAGTGGAAATCACAACAGAATAACTATTATTTTCCATGATAAAATCAAAATTATCCCACTTGAAGAAAACTTCCTCTTCCTTTATTGATCCATGCTGGTAGTCAAATACCAGCCAAAAAGCAAAGAACACTATCTCTACCCAACAAAACCCACAAACATGTCGAGACTACCTCTGTGAGGATTTCCCACAAACCAGCCAGAGAGTATTGAGTAAAGTTTAAAAGAAATATGATTTTTTTTTTAACATTCTTTATTTAACAATATTATAAATCCAACATATATGCATGTGCACATTTATACATGCGCTTACATATTACCACAAGAGAAAGAAAGAAACAAAAAGAAATAAAAAAAATAAAATAAATAAAAATAATAATAAAAAAAAGGATGGGGGGTGCTCAGCAAACAGTTAATTCCATTTCGACAATTTACATTCCTTACAAAAGGCCTCGTCACATGAAAGGGAGGTGTACATATCCGGTGTATTCCATTAAGAAAAAAAGATATACAAAGGGGGCTAACACATCTTTTTATAACCCATTAACATCTTTATCCATGTGGCCATCCAAGGTGGGAAATAGCTGGGGTCCATATACTCAGAAAGGTGTCCGTTTTTACATGAAGTTTTGCTGTTATCTTTTCCATTATATACACATTCTTCAATCTTTCTTTCCATTGTTGAAGGGTGGGAGGTAAGGGCTTTAGCCAGGAAAGAGTTATCATTTTCCTTGCTACCAGTAACAGAATCTGTAATAATTGGGCTTCCTTTTTATCTTCTCTTAAGGTCAAACCCAGTATATAATGCAGTGAGTTCAGTGGTAATGTAAACTTAAATATTTTTTTGATTTCTGTCTGAATCCCCTGCCAAAATGGAATCAGCACTGGGCAGTCCCAAAAAATGTGAGTGTGATCCCCAATTTGATTACAGCCCCTCCAACACAAATTTGTGGCGTTTCTAAGAAATATTAATTTATTACAAAAAATCCAAAAATAATTTTAAAATGATAAATCGGGCCCAAAACTGAGGTTAACATAACAAACTACAACTTAGGTAGTAACACAAAGAACTCAAACAAAAAACTGACCTAACTAACAAGACATGAAGAGAACTTAAGTAGTGGGTGATCAAACCACTACTAAACAAAATAGATAATTAAACACACACAAAAAAACCAAACAAATACAGAGAAACATTACTAAATCTTTAAATTAAATAAATATTAGAACTGAACTAACTTTCAAAAGAAACAAACATTAAAGAAATAATGAAACTAAACTAAAAACCAAATTTCCCCCTCCCCTGGCGAGCAGATGGAATGGCCCACTGGGAAGTTGACCGCCAGAGGGCATCAGCTGGAAATCATCTTAATTCCACCTGTAGCTCCAGGGGAAACTGGAGCTACAGCCAAACAAAAGAAATTTAGTGCATTTAACAAAAATTATAAAGAACTGACAAATAAAGTTAACTAAATGGGTGCACTACAAATAGTTAACTAAATTGGTCAAATTAATGAAAACAAAAATAAAAATCTAAACTATTCCAACAAATATATAAAGTAATATTAAAGAAAAACAGAAAACAATTACCCTTATTCTGTGACAGCAGGGACAGCTGTCACAATCTCCCTCATCAATATAATTTGGTGCACAACATTCAAATGACACGGGAATTGTATTGGTGACGTAGTTGTCCTTAGTGATACGCGCATCGACATGGGGTTTCATCTTCTTTGTTCGGCGCATGTGCCGAGGTGTCTGTGTCGTCTGGCCCATCAGTAATAAACAGCTTAGCGTTAGCAGTAACCTCAAAATAATATCAGTTCAGACTTAAAAAACTCAGCTTATCACCAAAAATACAGCAAAACTATTTCATTTAAGCAGAATTAAGTCTATAATGAAGTCCCATGCTCTCACAAAAAGAGAGAAAACTTTCTGAAAATATTTTCCAATATTTTTTTGATTTTGATTTACGCCGAAATCCAAAAAAAAGCCAAATCCTTCCTAAAAGATAAGACCACCAAAAGCAGGTCAAATAGTAAAGGTCCAACCCTCAGTTGTTGTTCCTCTGGGTGGCATCCTCTCGTGCACAACAGCTTTTAAGTGGATTGCAAAGGCTCCAAACAATTTCTGATCCCCATTAACATTGGGTAGCGGGGCAAACTCTAGCAGCCTTTCACAACTCTTTCTTTTTGTTTCATGTTTGTTTAACATCCTTAAAGGAAATCCTCCTGCTGCAAATCCTGATTGTGTGTGTATCTCTGGCTGCGTGCAGACGCACACCACCATGTCTACTGTTAGCTGTCATAATGAAAACATCCATGATTCTGCCCAAAATGTGTCCCAAACCATAGAAAACATAAGGTAGAATATAACTCACTAAACTGGAACTTTTTTGATATAATTGACATCAAACATTATTTATTTAAAAGAAACAGAAACATGAACTATGTCCAGGACTTCTAATTATAACTGGCTGAAATTACTTTTTAAAAGTAGTTATTTAAGGTTCAAAAAGATTCTTAATGTGAATTATTGTTTTTGTTGCATATTTGATTCATAATTATGTTTAATTTGTTCTTGCCATGATAGAGAAATTTTTTTGTAACTCCTCAATGAAAGTGTTTTTGAATCAAAAATGTCACAAGGCTTCTATAAATTAACATCTCTGGGTTTTTTCTGCCACATTCAATCCACATTTGAGGTTACAGCCACGCTTAGCTGCATTTTGCTGAGACCTGGAATTTGGTAAAAATTATGTTTCAGCTGTTTTCAGCTGTTTATGTTTCTGTGTGCAAAGTAATGGTGAGATGAAATGTCAGAATGGAGACAAAGTATGGTGTGTAACCCTCAGTTATAACCACTTGGTGGCAGCAAATCTGACCTTTTGAAGCTATTACTGTTTCTGTTGCAGATCTGACACTCACACATACACACCCGCACACACAATTGTTATAGGTTAATGCTTGGTACACTCACAAACAAGACTTCATTTATTAATCATTTATCAAATCACACAAATTCATTGCCAGTTCTGACGAACTTATGTAGTTCACCTGAATGGAATGTTTGGTGCTTCCTTATGTGCAAAGAAGTGGAAGAATTTATCCTAGATACTTTTATAACCCAGCTGGTTGGATAAATACTTTTAAGAGATTTCAGAGATAAAAACTGATTTTAATGCAATATGTCTCCAAAAAAGAAAACATTATTTAGAGAATTTGCAAAATATGCAACTGCTGAAGTATAAATTAAATCTAAAAAGTATCTGGATATATTTTAAGAAAATTCTTAGAAATTGTAAACAGAAATGATATTGCACATTTTTATATGACAATAAGTAATATTAAGAATATGATCTAATTGATAATTGATATTACTTTAAAAAATCTGGTATGCTTTTAGATCAGTGATTTACAGCATTACTCTGGCACTGCTTTAGCAGCACCCACTTCAGCTTTTACTTCAGCACTGCTTTAGCTTTAACACAAACATTTTTGGGTGTTATCGTAAAATCTGCTGCAAACCTCACATTAAATATGTTCAGAAACATATGAAGCTGTCTAGAAGCCAATAAGTTTTTATTCAAGCAAAATATTTCATGAATTATAAGACATGTGAAGTGCACAATTCAGAGACTGAGATCTAGACAAACGTCAGGGAGCAAAAACAATACATGGAGAGCAAAAATACACTGCAGTAGGCGAAAATCTAAATCTGCTCTAACAAACACCTCTCTCTCAGCTAACAGAGGTGGAGATTTAATCTTCAAGGACAAAACAAAGGAAAACAGACGGAATAGTTAAACTTTGTACGCTCATTCACTATCATGTGTACGGGATGCGAAAACTAAACACTATCGCTGTGCAGGGAAGGCCACGGGAAAGACGGCAAATTCCCAGAAGTTCTGGAAAACTTCAGCAAACTTCAGTTCAATTAGTTTGTACACCCTCTGCAACTGCACGGAAAAACATCTTGACTATGATACAATTACAATTATGTGATACATAAAAAAACACTGTATAATGCAAATAAAACATTTTCTCTTTAAAGAAAAATCTACTTCACAACTTCACCCTTTTTTTTCTTGTGGGTAGCAAAGAAATAACTAAGTAAAGGAAACCTAGAAATTATAAAATGAAGCAAGTATAAAATGAAG